TGTTGAAACCTACAACTAACCCTAAACAAGTTGCCTGGAGCAACCTGTGGTTAAAACTCTGTCTTTATTGATATTTTGCAAGCAAATATTTGTAGCAACCATGAAACAATTTAGTAATAAGTCAGATATGCACAACAAACTGTTACCAGTTGTATCAGGATTTGATAAAACAGGCTCTTCATTCAGCCAGAGACAATTTTGTTATATTTTTCTTAGGCAGGTCATAAGATGGCCTGTTACCACAGTGTCAACATTTTTTTTTTTAACCGTTAGACGTCAGTGGGGATTGAAGCATCACAAGATGAATTTAACTGCAGCAACTGGTTTTTTGACTGAATTGTAACTCATGTTTTCAGTATCCTGAAAAAAAAAATCTGATTTCCAACATGTGATAGTGTGAGACTCCTGTTTGTAGGTCATACTGACTCACAGGAGTGCACATGGTAGCAATCTGCCTCTGAAGTCTGACATCATTAGCTGTTTCCGGGTCCAAACTCAAACACTGCAGCATCACTGAGAGTTACAAACTGTGTGGCTGCTCTACCAGGTGTCACAATAAAGTTTAACATCCAGGAATCCATGAAAAAGGATTTATGAAGTTAATTAGCAGGCAGTTAGCAGGCAGTTAGCTCACTAGCGTCCAAGTAAAGATGATACACCACGTTTTGGCTGAGGGATTTCTGAAATCCCTAACCCCTAACCCTATTACTTACAACATAAATGAAGACAGAAGACTAAACAACAGTTTGTAGGGTTACTGAAGTTGGGCTAGCTGCTATATAATGCTGGTGGCTAGCTACAGAGCTATGGTTATGATAACATAAGTGCATTAGCACAGTGAAGCTGGAGGATGAACACTAACTTTTTTCTCCTCAGTAAAAAGTTACGGCGAGAGCCTCTGATGGGCAGAGACAAATGTAATCACATGACAGGAAAAAGATGCTGAAAACAGACCAAACTTCAGCCAGGAGACCATCTGAGATGATCCATCCCAGCACTACTGCTGCATGGTTTGTATTACTTGTAGTGAAAACATCCTGGTCCCCAGCTTCATGCACACATTCTAATCTTTCTTAGCCTACGAGTGATTCTTTTCTGTCCTGTTCAAATATGTGGCGTCTGGTAAACCGTGAGCCGACGAGCTGTAGATGAGCTAATAAAAACCCAGCGAGGCCGACAGTGATCACTGACTGTTTTTAGGGGCTTGTTCAGATTAAATAGAACAAGATCCAAAGCATTACAACACGTTAAAACGACAACAGCCTTAATGAACACAGTGTAGTTTGCACCTGGAAGCAGGGTTTACACGTCATCACTTAACAACCGGATGATAATTAGCCACAAATTTTACAAGCAGATATAAAAAATTCACACACAACAATATAAAATATCTATACATTGTATCTATCAAGAGAGATTGAACAAAAAAAAGACAAAAATAACCCTACAATTATATATAAGACAATTATTAAATAGTCAGTTATGGGTAATTTACATTGTATCAAACATTTTTAGGACATAATTTCACCAGATGGTTAAATGAACACAGTGGATGTGTTGTAAACAGCAGGCCATACATCGTGTAACAACAGGCAGGATAGCGTAAGAAGGTTACCCGTGTAGCTGTTAGCTGAAAAAACCTGCAACCCTGGTGTCCTTAGCTAATAACTGTTACTACTCCCAAACCAAAGATCGCTGTGCACTGAAGACTCTAGTCTGATAACACACTCCACACCATGGTGACACACAGAGGTAAGCTCAAATTAACACTGTAAGGTTGCAACTTTGACATAAGTTGTGAGAAGCGCTTCAAATATTACTTTCAGTGAACACGATTAGTAACAGGTCATGTGAAACCATGCCTATCGATTCATAGTACTGAGCCATGTACCAACACTGTAGTGTATGCTGTAATTTGCACTGTGCACCTACCCAGAACATAACTACACACTAAAGCAACACAGACCTGAAAAACTGGCTTTGGTCTGCTTGGCTGTAATATTCAGTGCAAACACAGCATATTTGAACAGCACATACCATGGCCCACTATGGCTCTACAGAGATTTTATACTGTACTATAAATTAAGGCTGATGGTGCAAAAAAAGAAAAAACCCTTGTTGTTATATGAAGTTATTATTAGAACCAGAAATCCGTGCAGAGCATAAAGAGGAGCCTGGCAGCTGCTTCGGTGACAGTAATGATCAGGTGCAGGGACACTTGGCTTGTACAGTTCTAGTTCTTGGGCTCACCATGACACCATGTGCACGATTGGCAGGGGGATTATCCACATCATTACTGTATTATTCCATGTTATTTGAAACAATTCCACGTTGTTCCAAATTACACTCCAACTACATCTGAGCATAGGTGCAGGTCGTTGTGTGCTTCAGACTTTAAATCGAATCCCCAGACTCTCAAAGTCCTTCACCTTCATCAACTGACAACATGTGCTTTTCAGTATCATCATCCAAACTCCTCCAGTATCAAACTGTACATCGTAACAATGATAAAATGAAGTAGAAGTGTTTAGAAATATTCATATTAGAAATATACAAATGCTTAAAAAACCAGATGAGAATCATTTATGACATCCAGTCATAAGTTATGAATGTTAAGATGCAGAATGACGTCCCTGCCAGAGCTTAATAAAACTCCAAATTGTCCTTCAAGCACAAATCATAAACCAATTTTTCTGTTCCACAACTATCACAGCCTGTTTCACTGCTGCAGTTTCATACGTGTACGTCCACTCTGCATTCTCCCATTAACAGGACAAAGTTACCTGTAAACTTGTAAAGCAGTAGAAAAAATGAATTTTTTTAAGCCTTACAAACTTCACCAAACCTTCTGAGCTAAAAACACATGCATACACTGCTCACCAACTGCTGCTTACCGAGAAACTTAGTTAACTTCCACTGCTGAAATGAACTGCAGGGCTCAGTTAGTGGGAAATACCTACCAGATTAAATCTTTCATAGCAAAGAGACAAAACGATTACCAGAAGATCAAAGAACTGATAGTAACTGCAGTTGAAGGCATTCTCAGGGACAACTCTAACCCTAACTCCAGGGAATCAGAATATATTTGTGTTTTTATTGGCGATCCAGAGACGAGGACAGTGATGCGTCCGTCAGTCAGCACGCAGTCTTTTATAGCTGCATCATTCACTGTGTTCAGAAATATCTTTCACTTCTGATATTTCAATTGGCCCAAATAAACATGCATTTGTTAACAAGTGTCTCTTTAATGTGATGATGCTAGAACCCTCCACAACTTACACACCATTTCAAATTTACACAACATCTTTAGCTGGTCTCGAAAAAACAAAAACAACAAAAAACCAGCTGAAAAGAATTCAAACAAACAACCGAAACACAAAAATGACTTCAGCGGCCGGGAAACCATCAAACTGGTGCTTCTTGATCAGGGTACATTCAAGTTGTCTGTTGGTTGGGTAACAACTAAAAGTATCTTTCATATTAGTCCTCCGCCATAATCTTCTGAGGTTCCCTCGTGATTCCTATCAAGCTCCTCTACTTCCTCCTTAGTTCGCCTTGCACTGATTTCCATTGTGCTTATGTGGTTAGCATGTCACAGATCTTTGACTGAAAGCGATTTATGTCAACTTTTGTTTTGAAATTTACTATATTACTAAAGCTCGCTTGACCATTTAAAAACAGCTCGACAGGCCCAGTCTTTCCAGTAGCATCAAACGTTATCATTCACTGCACTGACAGCTGCAATAAGCAAAGAAATACTGGAGCACAAGCAAACACGTACAGAAAGTATATAGATATCTACACAGCACAGCAGCTGGAAATCACCCACCGCACATGTTGGTGCTTTCTGAATGTTTTCACAATCCCAACGTCACTTTGCTGTTTCTAGGCAGATTCTCATCAAGATAAACAAAGTAGAGTCCTGCACAAACACGTGGTATCTATGTGACTCGCCTACAGCTACAGGACTTTTCTTTGATGGCACTTGGGCACAAAGTTTATTGAACAATGTAAACACTGGGTTAAGAAAATGTCTATTAAATATTCTTCTAACTGGCAATCTATACATTTAAAAAGAAAACAACAACAACAAAAACATTTTTTTCCACTGACATCAATGACTGAGTGAAAAAAGTAATAATAATAATAATAATAATAATAATAATAATACTGTCTATACTCTATGAATTCACCCACACATGCAAGTATTAAAGTATTTGAGAGTATGAAATAAAAACAAAGTTTTCATTTCATATTTCCACAACTGCGAAACATTATAAAAAATAAATAATAAATATGTGAACAGAGAGCAGGGAAGTGTTAAAAAAAAGAATTTTTAAAACCTTTCTCTGGTTTATTCCCAACGTTTTTTTAAAATCTTCGATAATAGGTGATTTATTTGTAAAATAATAAAGTATTATTAATGGAAATATTTTATCTTTTATCATTTATATGTTTTGAAAATAACATATATAATAAAATTACATTTGATTATTTTAAGAGTTTGACCTTTTCCTGAAAATGTTATTTAAATTATGATAATTACATTTTAATTATACTGTACACTTTTTACTTTTTAGTCTTTTTCTCTTAAAATATTCTGATTTCCTTTGAAAACGGAACCAAGTGGCATTTCACTTATATTTACTCGTTCTTCACTTTAAAGTACAAATCCTCATTGTTACTTCAGCGTGCGGGTATAATTATTATCTTTTTAATCATAAAACATTTTCGTATAAAACTTTATCTCATAACCGTTCCAACTTTATTCTGTAATGACTCCATGTTTCGTCCTTAGAGTGGCTGTAATACCAAGTCATAAAGCTGGGAAATCAAACTAAAGAACAGGAAACGAATGAACTTCCTTTGTGCAGGCGATGCTGCGTGTGTCAGTACAACTACCACACAGTAAGAATCATTTATACACTGCGCACCAATAAAACACAGCATGAAGAAAAGTGCTTGTTTTAGTATCTAAACACCATATATGCCCCTTGATATTGTTCTTATTCAACACAAACACAATACCACCATCAAATAAGATATATTGTTATTACCCAGAAGGGACTCTTTGCAGTCCAGACATAATTAAGACCGTGGATTTAATTTCCCCTGTGGCTGCCCACACTCTTATGTACAAACACAATCACAGTTATAGGCTTTGAATACAAATTTCCATCTAAGGGCATGTGGTTACGATGTTCGATGTTACCTGTGTGTGACAAAAACGTGGATGTGTAGAAATGTCACCCCTATTTTAGCTGAGCTTTGTAGCCAGAGAAAAGTGAGTCATTAGTGTGAATCTGTCCTCACTGGCAGGGTAATAATACCAGCGTAGACCAGCAGTTTATTTAAGCCTCTTATCTTTGTGCCTACGAAGCAAGTGTAGCGATACGTGATAAAAATATGTAAATATGTAGTAAAATAAGAAGAAATGTTGACTCAAACTCAGTCCAACCGACTCCTTGTATGTTGGCCAGGAGCAAACTGGGAGCAGGCATGACTCGACGTCTATGGCCTGTGAACGTAAGTCGATCTCTAACCTACTGCTAACTGAATTTAATAAGCTGGACAAAAGTGGCCATCTACTGTAGCCTGATTGGTCATTTGAGAACGTGTGAATGTCTTTTACCATGTCCTATTGGCTGCAGGTGGTAAGCAGATTGTTCACATCATCTCCAGAAACGTCCCATTGGTCTAGAATGGTTTACTTGTTTTTATAATTGTAGTTATAGATGGATAACTCACACTGAACATGCTATTCTTTATAGGCCAGCCCAAAAGTAGGCGGGGGAGTGTGAGTCAGGATTGGGCGGGGTAAAGTAGGGGGAGGGGTGGGGCTTGGACGCCCAAACACTCCCTGCAGCTGCCTGTTGGGGTGGTTGGGGTGAATGGGGTTCTCTTGAAAGCTTCGCAGGTTTTCGTGAAAGCGGTTGCTGCTTTCGTTGTCAAGGCGGTTGCCGTCATCACAAAGGCGGTGGTTGTTGTGGAATTCAGGGGTAGGCCCTCGATCCTGGACGTGGACCATGTTGCTGCTGCTCTTCCTTCTCAAGGTGGATTCACGGCTGGATGAGGCAACCGACTGGCAGTCCGAGCCGCCGTCACTGCTGGCAGCTGTCGCCTCCACTGGTGTAACCCTGATAGTGGTGACTGCTTGAGGGTGGGGGTGGAAGGGAGGAGCAAAGGTGGCAGTGGGTGTGAACGGCATGTTCGAGTTGTTAGAAGGAGGATTAAAGTTAGCGTGAGCGTTGTTAAAACTGGGATTATTGGAATTGTTAGGATTAAAACTGAGGTGCTGGTAGTTGTTGGGATTATTTGGATGTAAGGGATGTAACGGGTGCACAACATGTGGATGGCTGGTGTAGACACCTCCTCCTCCTCCCATTCCACTGCCCCCTGCGTCCCCACCCCCATCGCTCTCTGTTTCTGTCCCCATGACACTCCTCCTCCCATCCACCGATCCACCGTCCTTCAGCGAATCGCAGCTGTCCGTGTGTCTGTTCAGGTCATTGAGGTTGAAAGCCGACTGCCGAAGGGAAGCTCTTTGTTCTGGTGGTCTCCATCGCCAGGAGCCGCTTCCATCAGTGCTCGGAGGTTTCACTATTGGTTTGTTTGATCTGGACTCTGGGTGGGCTTCAACACGAACGATACTCCCAGTTCTCTCCAAACCTCCCCCTAGAAGAGCAAGCAAGTATTCAGCGAACTGAATCATCAACAAGCATGTAAGTACGAGCCAGAAAAGTATGAACAGCAAAATGTGTTACTGTAGGTGCTCACAGGGATGCACCAGCCCAATGATGGGATGTGTCAAAGTTTCCTTTTGTTAGACGGAGAAATAAGAAACAATTCTGAGAACTAGACATTTGTTCCAGCTCCAGTTACTAACAACAGGGCTGGCTATGGTCACTGATTTCCAGGAGTGGGTTTAAAAACAAAACAATTTCCCGATTCAAATTGATTTGAGTTTGAATAATGCAATATCGATTTTTAAATCATGTAAAAATCCAATATAAATATATGCTACAATATAAATGTATTTTGCCAGAAACAGCAGAATTTCAGTGTAAAGCTCACAAAACTATGTGAACAACCACCAAAGAGCTCAAACACCAAACGATTAACGAGCAGGTAAACGGAGTCTGCAGAAAGACGTGAACACAAAGAGCGACGGCACGAACACGGACACGCCGTCGGGGCTGGAAGCCGACAGCTCACAGACTCTGATGCTGCAGGTTTCGTCACTCTCACCAAAATTCACTGAATCAGCAACAAAAGAAGATCCAAACTATGCTTTACGTTTGAATAAATTAATTTTTAAACCCACCCCTAACTAACAAAGTGAGTCTCAAACCAGCCAACTGAAGAAGTCTTGTCATATTCATGGATTCAGATCCTAAAGTCACGCCATTACACAGTTAGGGTCAGAGGCAGGGCACTACACACAGTTTTAGTCTGCTTATCATTATTATACTGTACTTAATTCTGTGTTATTCTTTTTGTAGCTTGTTTATTTTATTTTTTATAAATATCACCTTCTCTTCCTTTGCTCTTTAACCCATCTAGCTTGAGGATTTGGTTCATCAGCACTCTAAATATGTCCTGTTTCTTTTAAATTTGGTTGGACCCAAATGGAAACTCTTTTAGCAAAAAAACTCAAATCCCAAAATGCATTGTGGGATTTCATTTAGAGGCTTTTAAGAGCACAAACACTTTAAATATCAAATCAAAAACGGTCCAAACTGCACACAGCGTCTCCAAACTAGGACCTGGGGAGGTTAAAGGAAGCAGGGAAAGGTTTTTTAAAGCTGCTGCTGGGATCAAAATCCAAATGAGTTTACATTTAAAATGTTTCAGTGTCACATGTTGACTTGTACTGTTTTCAATTAAAAGTAGAGTTTGGATGATTTATGAGTCATTGTGTTTCACTGATGAGCAGTCGGCTGAATCTGCGCTATTAGAAGTACAGACCTCCTCCCACGGCTCCAGTGGTGGAAGCGGGTGGAGATGGATCCTGGTCTGTCAGGGCCCGGTACCGAATGGATCCGGTGCAACTGACAGTGCTGCCACCGTCCTCTGACCGAGGAGAGTGAAGCAGACCCTGTTGTTTAGATAAGGCTATGACCTGGAAAATAAGAGACAGGCAGTGTAACGTGAACTTCTCCACACTTGGAAAACAGGTCTAAGAAGCACGACCGTGTCAGCTTCTCAGCAGCAGTGGCTCTCATGATGCAACGCACCAGCACTGTAATAAAGCACTGTTACTTTTTTATTTTTAAACCAACGAGGAATCCATGTCACAGCTTTACAAACTGAAGCTTTTTGTTTCCCTTATGAGACAACTCAGGATTGTGTCAAACTGAAGGTTTAAAGATTATTGGAAAACAAGAAACTACATTAACTGTGTGTTTGGTCAAAGATGACGACCAGTGTTTTTGATGGAACTCTCTTTATATCTTCTCATGTTGTCGTAGTTATCATTCATTCGAATGTAGCACAAATGTTATTCAAACACACAAGCACAAAGAAACCAATAAATGCAGAGTACTGCATGCTGACTGTGAATATGTGGAGTGTGATACTTTTTGTTTAATTTTGTATTTGTTGTTTGAGTGTGTAAGACAGATAAACAGGGTTATAGTGGAAAAAGAAGCCAGTTTGTCCTCATTATTGGGTTTTTTATTTCAATCAAATGATTTTGTTTTTTCTGAACGCAGGCTGCTGCCGTTCTTTCAATCACTGCATTTAGACGCAGTCTGAGGAGGGCGCCATTAAAACAGCGCTATTATATTTTCTGTTGACTGCTTCTCTTGGCTTCAACCAACATTATTAGCAAACTTACTCATGGACAAATAAATAAATAAATCGCTCGTGTAAAACCAATGAAAGGCTCAGCCTGTTGTCGATATATTCGTCCGGTCGCCCAACCTTGGTGAAGACCTTACAGTATACAGAAAGTTCCCCTTGGAGCAAGCACACGGTGAAAAGGTGACAGACTCTCTGTGCTCTCCACAGAGAAGCTCTGTGTGCCTCCAGACAATAAGTGTGCCAATAATACAGGATGGGGGCTGGTTCAGGGCACCCCAGGCATCAT